AGTCAAAAACAACTGATGTTATGCAAGATAGACACATTTAATGCCACACCGGGACATTCCAGACAAAGCAACGACATCTCCATGGAGACAGGCAGATGGCAGACTCTCCACTAGAAAAGTTACACAGTGCATCTTTAAAGTCTCTGTACCGCTTATTATTATTATTATTATTATTAATTTATTTATTTTTTATATATATTTTTTTTAAAGGTGCACAGTTTAACTTTTAGTGGACGGGCCATCCATCTGCTTCTCTCCACGGAGATGTTGTCTGGAATGTTCCACAGTATGGCATTACAGTTATTTATACCTACGGAGACAGCAGGTATAACTGTATAACACCACAGGGCCAAGTTACATGTCAGATCTGTGGAGAGGCGAGCCCACTCATAGTAAGAAAACAAGTTTTTAAGTCAATCACAGCCCATTTTATTGAGTAAATGCAACATGGACTCGTATAATGCCACACAGGGATATTCCAGACAAAGAAACAACATCTCCATGGAGACAAGCAGATGGCGGATCCTTCATCAGAAAAGTTACACAGTGCATCTTTAAATTTTTTTTTCCCCATGTATTTGAGCAACATTTGTCTTGCCCCAGGACAGATGTGTATTAGCTGCTCGAGGTCAAAATAAGTCCCCTACACTCTGTCTGTATCTAATCTTTTTTTACTGCACGATAATCAGGAAGTGTGTGTTAGCTTGCTAGTTGTTGTTAGTCTCTGAAAGTTGTAAATCGCAGGGTTTGTGTGTTAAACATGTGCGAATGAAACAAAACACAACTCCAGTAGTCTAAGCGTTTTATTATGCAGCTCTTAGTAAGTGCGCGTTAGCATGCTATTTGTCATTAGCTTTACCACCCAAATGTGTTTACTCAGTGGAGATATTATTGCTGTGTCTGGAATGTTTCACAGTAGGTATCTTTGAGCTATAAAACCACCTGTAAATGAATAAATGTAAGGTAGAGCTGTTTAATGTTGTACTGTGGAATATTCCAAGCAGAGCAGGGACATCTCCATAGAAACAAGCAGGTGACGGACCCCCAGCCAAAAAGTAACATAGCGCATCTTTAATGTTAATGCTCCTGGACAGAAAGTGTGGTGCGCTGGATCTTCAGGCTTGATTAAAAACAAAACAAAACAACAAATTGTAAAAATTTAATTACAGTGCAGACAATCAGAGGAACAGTAATTTGATATTTTTCCAAAACAATCAGACCTCGATGGGACAAAAGGGAATTATTTTACAATTCTGAAATAAGACCAGTGCTCGGCTGTTTTCTCTAGAGTTTGTTTAAAATGAAATTGTTGAAAGTTGAAAATTGTAAAACCGAACAGTTAAAAATTGTTTGACAAAGTTGTGCTACATGCAGTAGACATTTACAGACTGAGTGATGAAGTACAGACGGACACAGTGCTCTCTTTTACGAAAACACTTTAGTTTTGGGACCACATACAGTATTAATAGCTAACAAAGTGGTACTTACTTAGCTATTAGTTGGTATTTATCAAACACTTATTGATGGGATGTACCAATATCCAAATCTCTTGATATAATATTCTCACGATATGCATCTCATGGCACGATATTTATTGTGATATTGTGTGGAGGCAAAATAACAAAAAACTAACAAAATCGTGAGTATGCTACTTTTTTCTCATCACAATCCAAACAAGCACAATCAGAAATAGCAACCTGGTCCCCCATGAGGCATCGGTGGGGTCAGTTCATCACCACAGAAGCAGCTTATGAGGAGCCCAGCCCATATTACATGATTGTTACATCCACAATGCAGTGTGTATCTGTACAAGCCCATGAACATCTGTGTGATACTGGTCACACATGAGAACGTCTGTGTTTACTAGCGTGTAACGAAAATGTAATTTTTCATGATTTCCGTATATGTTAGTTCTGTGACTGTAGATCAGTGTGTTGTGTTTCACCAGAAAAAAAAGAAATGGAAATTATTTTCTTTCCAATTCCGTTCCGTTCCGTTTCATTCCGATTGATGTGGCTGTCGATGAAGGAAACAGAGCTGCTGCACGTGAGCTCGGCATCAATGAGTTGATGGTGAGATTTTGGCAACGGCAGCGTGATGAACTGACTCGATGCAAAAAAATGATAAAAGCTTTCAGAGCCGATAAAAGCAGACGACCCGAACTTGAACGTTCTTGAAGATATGGACACCTGCAGCTTATATTCAGGTGCGGCCTATATATGTTCAATTAAAAAAATGTTGTGGCTTATATTCAGGTGCGCTCAATAGTCCGGAAATTACAGTACATCAACCATCCCAACCCGAGTGCATCCCAGTTTTGAATTTTGGAAATCTGCTCACACTTGGCTACAAAACATGATTTGAATTCACAAGTGAGTTTGGATCATCTGCTTTGCTTACATAACCTGAGCTGTGATTTCGGCGGCCTGTTTTGTGTCGGACCCATGCAGTTTTAATCTCAGGAGAACTTCACTCGTAATCACTCCGTTCTAATCTCGCCCAAGAGTCAGACACAGCGCAGGATTTCTTACGGTTCACATCTGGCAACACATCTGCAGACGTTTCCGGATCTGGAGTTTGTTGATATTGTACCTCTTGGATTGTTTTGTTTGTTGGTTCTATCTCGTATTATGCGAAACAGGTTTTTTGAGCTTTTAGCCGTGTTTGCATGCCATGTTCTTGTCAAAAAGTGATAAAACTTGTTGAGAAAGCTTACATGAGGCATATTATCAGACCGTTAGAATATTCATGTGAGATAAACATAAACAAAAGTGAAGATTAGAAAGCCAAAAAAATGTCAGTGTTGAAAATAAGCCGCACTTACTGACAACATTCATTCTCCGTAATTTTCATGAATAAACCAAACGTTATTTATTTTTTATTTTTTTACTTTTTGTTGCAGATAATTTGATTTATATATTTCTACATTCATTATTTTTTATGTTTTATTTTTTTAAATTTTATTATTTTTTTTCTCAACAATTAGCCAGTGTTCAGTGTTGTTGTTTTATCGATAAACTTGATTATTTACAAAAAATCGATATCCCAAATTACTTTATTGATCTACAAAGAAAAATAGCGCACACATCACAATATATTCATTGATTGATTCGTTTTTATTTCAAATTTGTGCCAAGAGAGAAACAATAATCATACACATACTATATAAACATTGTAAACAACAGTAAAGCACATTTTTAGAAAAGAAGTGGGAAGAAGAAAAACTTATATTAACCCACCCCATTTCCTATCCCTTATTAAAATATAAATATAAAGTAAATAAAAGAGACTGGTGTCAAATAAGGCATAATTATATAAATGCATCTGTACAAGTAAAAATATAAATAATATAAATAATAATAATAATAGTACATTTTATTTACATAGCGCTTTTCAGGATGCTCAAAAACGCTTTACAGAACACATTAAAACAGTCAAAAGAGCAATAAGAAAATAGTACAGTAAAGATAAATATAAAGATACAAACAGTGAATCATACTGACAAAAGTTAAGCATTAAAGTTGTTCTAAATCGATGGGTCTTGGAAGTATTCTTAAAGGTGGTGAGGTCAGTGTAGTCACGGAGTTGTTGAGGTAGTAAGTTCCAAAGGGAGGGGGCATCGATGGAAAATATAAAAATAGTAACACAAGAAATACATTACAATACAGTAGCAGTGATTAGGCCTGTAAAGATAATAGATTTTGCTGGACGATTAATTGACCAAGAATTTATTGCGATAATATTGACATTTTGAGACCATTGTCAACTAATATAATGACCATGGAATAAAAATGCAAATACACCCTTTCAGAGATCAATAAACTTTACTTTCTAAAGCACATTTAACACAGGAACTGCAGGACAACCAAAAACAAAAGGCCTAAATAAAATAGACTTGTTAACATAAGAATATCCTAATGTAGTGTGGCTCACAGCGAGGACTTGTTTACAAAAATGCACTTGAATAAACCACTGTTGAACCAAACACAACCAAAACAATAAATAAATGGATTATTAAGTCTCTGTAACAAAATTGCCCTTAAAAGTTCTTTTAGTCATTGGCTTACATTGGTATATTGCGGCTCCTATCTCTGCAGCTGCTGTGAGCCTTGTTATGTTGGTCTTGAAGTGTTTGTATTAACCCACGACATAGGATCCTGTTTTCCTCTGAGGGAGCTGCTGTCCTGTCTGGTATCGTGTCGGTGTCTTGTGGGATTTCACTGGATTTCGCGCTCTCCCTCGGGCTAGACTAGTTGTGTCGCTCGGGTATGGGCGTATATCGACTGTTGGGGTTTGAGCCATTTCTTCTTGTTGTTTGTGCGCTCGCTGCATTTAACACACATGGGCCGTTGAGACGTGTCCCGCCAACTCATATTGATTTGACATCGTGACTTGTTTTGTCACACGGCGATGAACTGTTTTGGTTCTGACAGCGGTGCTAGCGTTGAGGTTTCATTTTAACTCGCACAGACAGCGGCTCTTTCTGCACTCAGGCTGCGCGCGCATCCACTGGGTTGATAAACAAATAATCTGTCTAGTCTACGCTGGCACATTCATTCAAATGTCATTACCCTAATTAAACGAGAGGAGTCAGAGAGCGATAGAAGCTTTTTCACGCTCAGTCTCTTTGGTAGAGAGAGAGACAAGGAAAACAAACAAGCATGCAAAAAGAATTTATCGCGGCCAAAACAGTTATCGAGCTCGTTAAGTTATAATACGATTTAATTGATTTATTGATTATCGTTGCAGGCTTAATAGTGATACAAAGCTGAATTCAGAAATTGTTTAAAAATTGTAATGTCCATGTGCTTTCTAAATCTGCTTGTATTGACCTGTAGTTTTGGCACTTGTGTTGGTGTGAAAATGTGAACTTGCGTTTGTTTTTTATGCGTTTCATTGCTTTGTTTATGATTTCATCGTCTATTATTAGTTATACAAAATCCCTAAATGTCCAATCATACTTAAATGAGCTGTTTTTGTTTTTCTCTGTGTGTGTCTAGGATGAGGAACCTGTCCGGAGGCTCTCCCAGACCCCGTCACCCCAAGAAGACTCATTTCATCAAAAACATGAGACAATACGACACCAGGGGGAGCCGGTGAGCACTGCACTTACATTACATTTACATTTATATTCACAAACGAAGGGATGAAGGATACTCTGATTAAACTGCCAAACATTATTAATTAAAGGTGCATTGCGGAACCTTTCTGGTGGAGGGTTCACTACATAAATGTCTCCATGATGATGATTTTAAACATTTCCATCCAGCATTTACTCATTGAGGGTGTTTCTGTCACTCAAAAATACAATAATTCCTTCTTACGTTACACTACAATTCAGACTCTCCACAGATCTGAATTGTAGTTTAACGTAGTGCAAAAAAGCAGAAACATTGCCATGTAGACGAGCAGGTGGCGGATCCTCTTCTCAAAATTTTACGCAGTGCACCTTTAAACATAGATTCAGGTAATATCGCTTTGTCTGAAATGTTTCGCAGGATGATATTAAAGAGACAGTCCAGAATTTTTGACATAGGATCTCATTTCCCAGTGAGTCAGAGTGTTGGAGACGTGTGGAGACACTTTTTTAAAATATTCCATCCAGTCCTTGTATTTGCAGAGGTCGCTGGTGCTAGACTAGTGCATGTCAATGGCTATAATTATCCTGCTACTAAAAACCGTCTCACCCACTCCACAAAACACCCGAAGCAAATCTATTATTACACCAGACTCTCGATGTAAATGTCTGTGTTGATAGAATAATGTTTGAACTAAAGCTAACCTTGCATTGCATGAATCGTCTCATGTTGAGGGACTATTTTCTCATATATCAGTCCACCTCTGCCAAACTTTCTATCAGGAAGTACAACTCGCTGCTGCTGCTGCTCAGACATAAATCCTTCAAATGCAAGGTTGGTTTTACTTCTAAAATTATTCTATCAACACAGACATTTACATCGACAGTCTGGCGTAATAATAGTTTTGCTTCGGGTGTTTTGTGGAGTGGGTAAAACTGTTTTTAGTACAGGATAACTATGACCATTGACATGCACTAGTCTAGAATAGGTAGAATAATAGAAGTAATAATTTTAGAAGTAAAACCAACCTTGCATTTGAAGGGTTTATGTCTGAGTAAAATTCCGCCACTGCTGAGAAAATAGTCCCTCAACATGTGACGATTCATGCGATGCAAGGTTAGTTTTACTTCTAAAATGATTCTATCCACACAGACATTCACATCGACAGTCTGGTGTAATAATAGATTTACTTCGGGTGTTTTGTGGAGTGGGTAAGATTGTTTTTAGTGGCAGGATAACTATGGCTGCGTTCAGACTGCAGCCTGAAGTGACCCAAATCCGATTTTTTGGCCCCTATGTGACCTGTATCTGATCTTTTAATGACAGTCTGAACGACACAGATCCGATTTTTACAAATCCCAGGCCACTTGGATATGTGGTCCTGAAACCGATACATATCCGATCTTTTGACATGCGACTTCAATCTGAACGGCCAAAGCGCATTCATCCACCTACACGTTATCAACAAGATATAAACAAGTCACTATTCTCCGCTGAAGTAGGCGAAAATTGTTAATGAACTCCGTGTCACTGAAGCGAAGCACATCGCCACTCACCACTCTTGGCTCCGTCTCCACATCCACACATTCCTTTCAATGGACGTCGCTGCCGCTGCCCTACAAAACACCACGGCCAAAAACCTCGTCCTTCTCCTTCTCAAGCTCCTCCTTAAAACAAGTAAGTTGTTCATGTTCTGGCTCCAGTACGAGAGGAACTTTAAAATCTCCAGGTGCTCAATGCTCAATCCATAAACACAGAGCACGCTCACTGCGGTTGACGTCATCGTGTCTCCAGTGCACATGCGGGACACTTTTGGGCCGTTTTACGTTCACACAGGGGATCGCATACAAGTCGCATTTAATTGGAAATGTGAACGACCTCGACAAAAACATCGGATTTCACAAAAAAATCGGAATTGAGCGTTAAGCCCTGCGGTCTGAACGTAGCCCAAGACCATTGACATGCACTAGTCTAGCACCAGCGACCTCTGCAAATACAAGGACTGGATGGAATATTTTAAAAAGTGTCTCCACACGTCTCCGACACTCTGGCGCACTAGGAAATGGGGTCCAAAATTCCAGACTGTCCCTTTAAACCTTTCTATCTTCACGGAGACCAAACCAGACCAAGTTACAGGTCAGATCTGTGGAGAGGTGACCCCGCTCACACACAGAATACTTTTTTTTTTTTTTTTTTTTACGTGTTTTTGAGCTATAAAACCACCTGTAATTTAATAAATGTAAGGTAGAGCTGTTTAATGTCACACTATGGAACATTCTAGGCAGAGCAATGGCATATTCATAGAAACAAGCAGATGACAGGAAAGTTACGCAATGCACCTTTAACATAACAAGTCAATAATAATGCATAAAGTTCCATTAAACTCCTGTTCTGTTCTATTGTTTGCCGTGTGAGTGAGCTCCTGACAGTCTACAGGACCCAGGTGCAGCGTGAATGAAGCCAGCCCAGTCTCTCTCCATTGTGTTCTATTTTTGTACTTCCTTCCCTTCATACACACGCACACACACACACACACACAACATAAATCAGGCTACGCACTACTCATCCGATAATAATAGACTACGCTCTGATTGGTTTAAAAATAGGAAAAAGACGTCTCACAGTCTAGAAAGAGAAACTCAAGATCTAAAGCGAAATATCCTGATTGAATTGAATTGGTTGTAGTTTAGGTTTTTGATCCCCTAACTTACTTATCAGCAGTGTATTCGAGATGTTTGGGCTTCTGTATTAACTTTATTAACAAGAGGAATTCCCATCTTATTCAGAATATGCTTGTATTTTCAGTTAAAGGTTATATGGAGGGTTTTTCAGTTTCAGATTGTCAATGAAAGTTCAAAATGGCATCGACTGTGGATGTGGTGGGGCCAGATCAACTTTAGTCAATAGATAACAAGGCTACCTATCTATTAACTCTCTTTGTTTCTATCGTAACTGACTCGCCGGCGCGCTGGGATTACGTCATTTACGTTTGCCTCTCACACACGCAAGACACCGTTTACTCGACCAACGCAGCAGTTCTTAGCGGCTTATCCGAACTGCAGCTTCCCCGCAGTTTGCTCAAAGTTTGTTGCGATGGCGGGTAAGAATCCACGACCAGTTCGCCGCAAAAGAAAGTCTGTTTTCGAGGTCGCTGAAAGAAGAAGAGAAGGGGGAAAAGAGCGAGGCCAAACTAAGGTGATTCTTGGAGATTCCTTCCAGCGATGGCGCGAATGAAGCAGGCAAAGCGTCTAAAACGGACGCGTTGGTCGCTGTATACGTTCCCTTTCCTAGGGGAGAAAGGGAAGTAACAATAAAAAACCCAAGATGTTTAAGGTTTAACTAAAAGTTGTGGATTTATTATTTACAGTGTAGGAAAAAGAAAAAAAAAAAGACACAGAAAGTTGTGGTGAAAATAAAAAGGATTTAAACAAAATAATCTATTAAACTAAGGAGCCCTAATTAAGTACAACGCCAAAAAAACAAACAAACCCTAACTAAAGTTGTACTGCGAAAACAAGGTGTCTCAATGAAATCAACAGAGGCAATAGCCAGCATTTTAACAAAAACACAAAATGAGACAACCAATAATCAACCAAACAATAGGCGTGCTGGCTGCAGGGATCCAGCTGCCCCGAGCAGGTGGAAAAGTCCTTTTATACATCGCTCTCCCACGGGTGGCCTCCGCGGATTAGTGGGGGCAAAAGGGTGACCGGACAATCCCTGTAGTGATCTGACGCCCAACCTCCGTCTAGCGTCCGGAGCTCCCGCGCATTTAGATCCAAGGCTTGCAGACCGATCGCATAACACACACACACACAAGCAAATAGAGAAGAACGGGAGCACTAATAAACAAATTCCAAAGGGCCGAGACCTGTAACAGTCCCTAAATTTCTTTTCTACAGGTAACTTCAACAGCAATTCGTTCAGCAGCTCTGAATGCACACCGGCTCTAAACAAGAATGATTTCTAGTGTAAGGAGGAGGTGGGAGGAGGCATTTCTACTATGTCTGCTAGGGGTGTAACGATATCCAAGTCTCACGATACGATGTCATCACGGCATGAACCTCACAGTACGATATTTATTGCGATATTGTGGGAAAGCTCATGATATGGTGGGGAGGCTCATGATTAGAGATGTAACAATATCCAACTCTCTTATTTATGCAATATTTTCACCATATGCATCTCACACTATGATATTTATTGCGATATTTTGTGGAGGCAAACAAAATGCCTTGACAAGACTTAATCCAAAGAACTAAATCTTAAAAGTGATTAGAACTGTTATTTCTTCTTGTAGTTTGCACTGAAATGGAGCAAAGGATCATATCTCTTAATTTAAGCAAAGACACTTGTGATTCGATATATTGTGATGGTCCACGATATTATTGTGAGAACTTTGACGATACGATATCACGATATTTTGGTTATTGTCCCTAGTTTCTACTTAGGGAGCTGTGGAGGAGGGGGTTGGTATCTCGTGCAACATTTGTGCAACATTTGAAAAAGGACAAACACTCACTTTATTTCTCTTTCCTTAGAAAATCATCTATGAAACCTTTTTAAACTCTCCAATAACTGTGTGGACGCAATAGCAAACAAGCCAAGTTTATTTATACAGCACCTTTCGCCGACAAGGAAGTCACAAAGTGCTTCACAACGAAAAGTTAAAAACACACAAAGGATAACACAATTACAATGGATTGGCTACACAATATATGGGAGTTATAGCAGGTATCGGGTTTCAGGTAAAATGTTCTTGTATTACTGGAAATTCTTGTCCAAGAATGTCTCATAATCAGCGTTGGTCAGATTATCTTATTGTAATGTAGTTTCCTCATCACAAACAGACCTGGAGTTGTGTTTTGTTTCATTCATATTTAAAAACACAAATCCTGCATGTTTAGGCTCATAAGTTCTTTTCTCATACAAAAAAAAACAACACTGTGCTCCACTGTGTTTTTAAACTTCATACACCTTCACTAGAATCTGTCGGATAATTTCAGCATTGAAATTTG